AAACCCCATAACCTAAACCCTAAAAAGAACAGAACCTCAACACTCAATCCTTATAAGGCCAAACTTCAGTCCCGTATCCTACAATCCCTAGATCCTCAACCCTCCATAACCGCAGTTTCCATTCCACGTGCCGTTTTCTTTCCCAGTTGATTCTCCAGTCTTGGGGTATTATCAAATATCCCCACTCCCTCAACCCTCCCTATACAACCGCTTTCAAAAGCTTGTCGTCACCCTCCCTGAGATCCCAGCGGCGCGACGGCGCAGCTCCATCCTCGCCCAGGCCTTTCTCCAGGAACTCCAGCAGATCCTCCAGCAGCATGCCTGGGTCTGAGCGTTGCCCAAGTATGTTTGGGGTTTCGGGTCTTTTTTTTTCTCGGACCAATTTTCCCCGCGGCACTTCGGGTCTAGGGCTCAGGATTTGGGATTCAAAGGTTTAGGGGTTTGAGTGTAAGGATTCAACATTTAAGGCTCAGAATTTAGGGCAAAGGAATGTCTTACATAGCTGTGCGCATTCCTCTTTGAGGACAAAAACCTGTAGCACTACCTCATCCCTAAACCCTAAACCGTATGGTTCCTGTTTAGGGTTTGGGAACCATGGCGTAATCGGCGCGATTGGCAGTCATTGGTGACAAGGTTGGCTCGAGTGTCAAAATTTATTCCTTCACCCTAAGGGTCCAAGGACCCAAATAATAGGGTCCCTTTAAAATGGGTTATAGGGGGATATATAGGGATATATGGGGACTATATAAGGGTCCAAGGACCCAAATAATAGGGTTTTAGGGCCCGAATACCATTCTCATTATAGTATTTGAGCCCTAAAACCCAATTATTTGGGTCCTTGGACTCTTAGGGTCACTTAATGCAGAAGTCCCCGCAAGGGTGGGTTGTAGAATACCAGTGGCGGGAGATTGTAGATCGCTGGTTGGGCCTACAGCCAAAGCGGACCTAGTCAACGACAAATGCTTCAACACCTGAATCCAAATGAAGAAGGTGGATGTGTTGGCAGCCAGGTGGCGAACAACAAAACAGAGCATAACAAACATAACAATGAAAAACAATAGCAAAATCAACGGCCTCCAGTCGCGTGCTACTTCTTAAGTTAGGAAACAGGCACCTACAATTCCGATAGGTCTCAGAAAAATTGGAAGCCAAAACCTGGACCAGCCGCCTCCAGCCCGGGAGACTCGTCCCACCCGGCTGCCATCCGCTGTCTGAGATCATGTTTGTTTAGGATGTAGGGCTGCGTTTAGGGCTCAGGATTTGCGATTTACGGCTCAGGGTCGTCCTAAACTGAGAGCAAACTAAAAGGTGGGCATTGGGAGATCCCTCTGGGGGATGCGGCCAGTGGGGCAGTGAGTGGGGCAACGGGATCTAGACCTGGAACATGTCGTAGGAATAGCACTTAAGCCATGTGAACAGACAGAAAATGCACTCAAAGCGAGATGCATGTCTGCACGGAAGGTCGTGAGATTATGCAACAATGATGCCAGCATTCTGCTAAAAGAAAAACATCTATCTGGATAATGATGCAGACGGTCTCTAACACAACCCCAATCGACAGAATCCTGAGAGCAAGGACCCCATCCGCCCGCAAAAACTTGTGAATCATGCGTGTAATCTTATGGCCGGAGCATCGTGGCGAGGATTCGCAATTGATTGCCCAGCTTACTGTAGCGTCTATAGAGGCGCTGGGCGGATGGTGAAATATCAGAAGTTTAGAGCAGGACATGGGGTGCAGCAGCGCGATGCACCGGCCCTACCATTCCTAGGCAGGTGGTCTTTCAGCATATAGGGCTTGGCTTATACATAGAGTTCGGAATCGGGGGGGTAAAGACCTCTGATAAGACACCTTTGGGTGGTTTGTGCTGCTCAGCTCAAGAGCCGGCGTGCAAGTCTGCGCATACTAAACCTCCATCACTCTTAGGGCTATGCCTGGATTTCCTCCATCCACGGTGCGAAGAGGATCGCAAGAAAACGATTTCACGAAGATAGATCTCCCTGAACTAGGCTCGGCCTGAACAAAGCCCTTTGTTGTCGCGCTAGGCAACTTGCCGATCCAAGCAGACTCTCCACACTTTGTATCTGTCCCAAGTGGCCGAATCTGCCACGCTCTGGAAAAAGTCGCTGAATATGGCACTGAAGGAGTCTCCACCAGTGTCATACCTTGGAATGCAGCAACACAAAGCTCGAGATACACGATGGCTCTCAGAAACGGATGTTGCCCACTAGAGGCTGGCTGAAGAAACACGAAGAAAGATCTCATAACTGTGGCAGATGTGCAAGTCAATCTAGGATTCAACATCTCCAGCCCACATTCGCCACATGTCTGCGTGGCAGATAGTGTTGTGCACCGGCAAAAACATTGCCGTTTCTTTTCAAAATGACCTATATGATAGCGAAAACTATGGTTCGCGATGCTTACTGAAATCCTCTTCCCAGATTGGGAGCAAAGTAACGCAGCGATTTGTATTCAAATAGGAATCGACACAATGCTAGCTTCGGGACATCCCGTTGTTCATTCAACATGCCCTGCGACACATCAAACAAAGGACTTTGGACTCTCTTGGGGAATAAATGAAAACTTTTCGTAGAATTAGCAGTAACCCATAAGAAAGGAACACTACACGAACGTCTGGCATACTTTGGTAGCTCACAAAATGGCAGCAGATCAGGAGTTATGCTGTGAACACCACACTCTAAAACTGGACTTCAAGCCCGAAATCTGTTATGATATAAGACTGAGGCAGACTGCCTGCATCAACCCTAGACCCTGGGCCCTGAAACCCCAATCCCGAAACCCAAAATCTGTTGGTAGTTTCCCGTTTCTTTTCCGTTCCCCATTTCCAGCTGCTTCTCCGTGCCTAAACCGTAAACCCTAGGAGGAAGGGATTGGGGCAATGTCCCTTTATATCTAAACCCTAAATCCTTTATATATATATATATGGCTGGTAGTCAAAATTATGGTCCCTTTTTATAATACGGCCCCTAATATTTAGGGTACCCAAAAAGGGACCATAATTTTGACAACCACCCATATATCCTTATAACCAGTTTATAACCCTAAATCCTTTATATATATATACATATATATAACATATATATATATCCTTATAACCCGTTTATAACCCTAAACAGAAGCCAGGAGGGATGCTCCTCCTCCATGGCTTGTGTGCGCTGCCAGCGGCCTTGGGACCCTCGACCCGCGGCTCCTGGCGGCGGAAGGCGCTTTGGGATTTAGGGTTAAGGTTTGGGATTCAGGGTTGTGGGTTTTGGATTTAAGGTTTAGGGTTTATCTAGGCGAAAGGGAGAAGGAAGAAGGATGAAGAGATTCCGTGAAGGCTGACTTACCCCCAAACCCTGGAGCCCGAACCCTAAGCCCTTAGTCCCATACTCTAAACCCTGAACCCTAAACCCTTAACCCATCATTCTTGGCACGAGGACCCCAAAAAGGAATCCACGGGTAATAGAAGCCTGCATGCTCTGCCCGTACTTATGAAACGTAGTCGTCGGACTCAGGGTTCTGAACACTTCCATGCCTCTGAGCCCTAAACCCTGAACCCCAAGCCCTAAGACTTTACATTTCGCGCTGACTCGGATTCCTATCTATGCCAAACTGTCCAACCCTTTGAGCCGCACTCTTGAACACCTCTCAACAAAACCTAAAGTAATGATAGTAGAAAATAAGAATGATATAGGAATAAGAAAAATAGTAAATGATACTAACAGTACTAATAATAATAATGATGGTCCTCTTCTCGCTTGGTTTTCTGCACCGCGTTTCGCGCCTCACACAAACTTTCCCTTCCCACGAGACAAATATTAGAAACAGTAGTTCTATGGGTATTTAGAAAATCGGTATTCTGGGATCTTCCTGAGTACAAGAAAGGATTATAGCTCGTCGTTTCAAGATTATATTGGCATTATTCGTAGACAGGTCAATAGAAGCCACCATCCGCAGACTTTACATGCACACGAGCCACATTGACCTTTGCACCGCAATTAGAATGACCCGAAGCTTTTATGATCCCTGCCCGCTGCCCCACAGCGGCAAGTTGGAAGCTTGTAAACGTATCCGTATCAGCTGCCCGTACTTCTCTCAAGTGTTTCGAAGTGTCGGGGTTCTGCCTCCTACGTGCCTGTAGTGAGCATCCAGCTTGTGTAGTGTATGCCTTGAGGACCTATGTATCGAGATCCATTTGAGAGATCTGCAAAGATGCAGCACACTTGCTCCATTCCCTGAAGGGCAACTTCTGACAATGAGGAGAGAGTATCATGGACATGATAGGAGATCAAAACTTGTAGCAGTAAGATATCGAGGAGCGTGAACTTGAGGAAATAGTCAGTTCCCATCTCCTTCAAGAACATTCGTGATGGGGACCTGCATCTGAGATAGGCAACTCAGAACTCATTCGACTCATTCATATGAGCCATAGTCTAAACTGCTAGTATCCCCCTTAGTAACCCCTATAATAGTCCCCTACATAATCCCTATATAACCCCCTTTAAGGAGTTTAGACTATGGTACGTATGGTTCTGGATCACCGGTCAAACTATCTTCAACATCCACAAATTGATTGTTGGATCTTCGGCTTTGCTTTTCTTGGATCGAGGCTGTGGCACAGAGCCCGCACAAAAGCAAGCCTCCATCAATAGCAATTTTTGCTGTAATTGTCTTACAATGAGCTGGTGGCAGGAAATCTGCACATAACTACCTCTACCTTGCTTGCTTGGGATGCGGTAATCCGCAAGCACCAGACCGTCACTCAGCCCGAGACCGTACGTTTAGGGTTTAGGGTACCACACCCTCTCCGAACCTCTTGCTGGAATCACCGCAATCATCAAAAAGCCTCCTTCCTTCAACCCTAACATGCCCTGAACCCTACACCTTAGGAGGACCCCCCACCTTGTAATAGTGGTATAATAACAATTGACAATATAAGAGGTATTATCCCTTATAGTCACCATTACTGGGTGGGGGGTCCACCTAACCTACACTGATCAAAGTAGCCAACTGACAGTCCCCCTGACTAGATCTGACCAATCCCCTCTTATACTCAACTCCCCATTAGGATACTGTTTAGGGTTTAGGGTTTAGGGTGTCCTATAACCTAAACTCTAAAAGGGATTACAACCTCCGTCAGCTGAGTTACGCTCCCAAGCCCGCAGCTTCTCCTTTGTGCAGGATTGGGAATGCTATCAATGAGAATCGAATTTGGGAATTGAAACAGGATCAAACTAAAATAATACTGGAAATTGTCGGGTTGGAGTTTAGGGTGCAAGTATCATTTTGAGGTCGATGCAATATGACTCCAACTGATTTAAAACTAAGACAATCGGGGGCGCGTGAGGGAAAGATCCCCTCTTTCTGAAAAACTGGGGATTGTCAAGACCTTGTGGGGCGTCAAAACTTCTGGTTCCTAACTATTGGCCCCTAGTTGGGTTTGAGGGCTTGATACGGCATATAATGGGTGTATAAGAACCTTAGAATTAACGGCTCATACCAGGGGCCCATCACTCCAACCTTTCAAAAAGCCTTGTAAGCTACAAGCCCACACTCTTGCAGTGACTCTAGCGAAGAGATGCCAACATCCAGTCAAAACTTATTCTAGCTCTTTACTCCAACTCCTTGCAGGTCACTTTGAGGTGAAGCTTATGGTGGGCTTGGCAAAAAACCTGATGTGCAGGTATGAAACTTCAGGATTGAGGGTCTTTCACAGTACTTCCTAGTAGGACAAAGAATGCTCTGCAACTGCACCTAACCTAACATCCAAACTTTGGCCCTTCAACCCTTTTGCGCATCATACATGGCCTACTCTCCAGCCCCAAAAGAATTCAAAGCTGCACAGCCAAGAAGAAAAAGAATATTTGCGCATATAAGATGACGCAGACTCAACCCTAGAGGTACAAGGGCTTCCTCCATATACGCTGCAAAATCCAACTAAATCCCCAACCCTAAACCCTAAACGCAAGCTCAGGAGCAGGATCACTAAGGGCGTCGTAGGCAGCCGAGAGTTCCTTCAAGAAGCGTAAGAGAGATCGGCGTCGTAGCCAAACACTAAAAGCCAAAAAACAAAATCACCTAAGAATATCCTTCTTAGATAAGCCTTAGTAGTTTCCATGTTCTTTTCCATTATCCCCATATAACCCAATACAACCCTGATAGTCAGCCTATGCGAGCTCCGACATCCTGGAGTTCACCCGACAAAAGGTAGGGAATCTACCGAAAAACTGAAACCCCTCTCCGGGTCCCTACACCCTGCTTCGTCAGGCCAGTATGTGAGTTCCTGTGATTTCTCTTCTTGCTGCTGCTGCTGCTGCTGCTGCTGCTGCTGCTGCAGCAGCAGCAGCAGCAGCGGCAACGGCAACCGCTGGTGGTCGTTGTAATCGTTGTAATCGCAGTAGTCGTCGTAGTGGCCATAGAAGTACAAAAGTAGTCGTCGTAGCAGTAGTGATAATGGCAGGAGGAGGAGAAGGCCAAACAGCAGTAGTCACACTGGTGGTACGACTTGCAAGTTGCCCTTGGAAAAAGATCATCCGAGGTTCAAAAACATGGATGTGACATGGGGCTTCAGATTCTTAAGTCCCGTGATATCTTCCTGGGTTCCTCTACCACCCCACCCCCCAAATACCTTCCCCCAAATTCGCTGTTTAACGCTAATGGCCCTAACTATCCATGAATCAATAGGAAACCTTGGGGCACAAAAAAAGAGAGCTGGCAGTGGAAACCATGATATCTACCTCCGGCTTGCACAAGTCCTGCCACCGCTGCTTTGCATCGGGTAGCTTGCTGACGTCCGGATGTTCTTTCCTCGGTAGGCACGGCTCGGCCACGGGTAGGCAACGAACATTCAAGAAAGGACCATACTTCGTTGGACAACCCCGGAAGGTAGAAGCAACGAACTCTTCTGAACCCCCAGGTCATTGGCAGTGCCCTAACCCCAAACCATCCCAAACCTTTAACTTTAACCCCAATTACAGGGAGCTACTACGGGCACTATGGAAATCCTGCCTCTCAGGCTTGGATGAGCAGGATCCTGATGGGTTTGGCTGTTTGGCTCCGCATGATAAGGACGGTAAGGACCCCAACCCTAAGCCCCAAATCCTAAACCCTGCTTAGTTCCCATGTTCTTTTTCCATTATCCCTATGCCCTATATATCACTGTGTAATCCCCATATACAAAAACTCTTCCCAGCAGGATATTCGGATCAAGAATATCGCGAGCAAACTACAAGAAGGGTACTAGGATCGAAAGCAATTTTTTCAAACTACCAAGCAATGGGGAATGCGGGATGCACACCATTTAAGATGTTCGTGTCTTGAGTTTGAAAATGTATTTCTTTGAAAGCGCAGCTGTACAACACGAAGCTTTATGAGATTTGTGGGAAGAGCGAAATTCCTGCTGACAATGAGAATGCAAATCTCTAGATACAAAACCATTACAAAGCGTGATGGCCATTGGGTAACGAGATGAATCGCATCAAATATTGACCCCCGAACGCCCCATATCCTAAACCCTAAACCCTTGCTGGCAGCGGATCAAGGCTTTTCGACGGTATGCTCGTTTGATCTCTGCCTGACTCGCTCCAGGCGAGACCTCGTGATATAGGGATAAGAGGAGGAAGGGGTGCAGAGGAATGGGAAAATGGCTATTATTTGACAATATTCAAGGGTAAGGGGATCATAATATCTGGATTCCATAACAACGATCTAGGAGTTGTGTCGAAATTATAGAGGGCTTTGTGTAGGGGTTATGATAAGGAGTACGGATATTGCCCCAATAACACAAAATCAAGCATTGGTCTCACAAAGTCACTGAAAATCAATGCCCCTCACAAAGGTGTGACTCTCACATCTGCAAACTGCTGAAACCAGGGTGCGCCCAGCACCTCCCAGGGACTGCCGCCCAGAGCCCTCCGGCGGGTGGGAAGGTTTGGCTGCACAAGACGTACGACTGCCCCTGCATTGTTCATATACCCTATCGCCTCTGCGCCAATTCCTGTGTGAAGAAGGAAATACTACGACACAGCCACAAAGATAATCTTCTCATGATGGCTGCTGCTTCCTCTCTGCGCGATGAACCCGTAGAAAGAATTAACTGGGAAAGCGAAATGCTTATCGAAGGTAGTTTCCATAAAAGTGGCACTGATCAATTTTTCATTTCCTCTTCCGGTCCTAACCACACGAAAGCGCTTCCAGAGCCTCCGGGCAACAGAGAGCCGGCGAGCGTGCACCGCAGTCCACGAAACAGCGAACGCACTTGCCGGCCACGCTGGAGGAACGGCATGCCCAGCGTAGGGCTGGGGGCCTCAGAGCAGATGAGCCAGTGGAATTAGTTGGATCTTGGATTGATTTGATTGGAGCCAATGGACACAAATCGCCTGCAGACCTCATTACAACTACACAGGTAAACCTGCATGCTGGACAGACAGCTCGGCAGCCAGACAACTAGACCAAACAAAAAAACAAACATTGAAGTTGGAAAGCCAACGTCAACTCCTGCTGGACGCTGCAAATTTCGGAGCACGTGCTCCATGGCCATTTTGGGCTTAAGCTTGCTAGATTAGCGGCGCAAACTTTGATTGTGACATCGTACAGACGCGGGTGACCAAGCAAAACCGTCTGAATCAGTTGACAACACAAGTTGCCACCAAGCGGTCACATCACATATCAAATTACAGGGTCGATGTGTCCTTGTGTCCAGAATGGCCAACATGTTGCATAAGCTGCATGAATGCTTCCATGAATAGTAGAAACGAGTGCTTGAATATCAATATCAAACACCTTCACGTACACCTTTCACATAGCCATCCGTTGGCAACTGAAACTTCGTCCTCAACATGCAATGCCTGATCATGACGATTTTTCTTTGTGACCCCTGACCATGTTGGCAAGCCCTAACATTGAAATGCAAGCCAGCTTGCTGATTCCGCCGTGGACGGGGGTACGTACAGGGATGGCGACAGCCCCATGGCAAGAAGGAATGCCCCACATGTTCCCCTACAGAAATGCCGATCCATACAACCGTAGAATCACGAAAAGTTATTGTCGTTGTTTCAAAAGTGTTGTCTGAATTTTTATACCGAGAGTGATCGTGAATGCTCATAAGCAGCATGGGCCAAACAGCCTTCCCGGTCCAGGGGATAATTGCAAAAGTTACAGTCACACCGGGCATTTCGTGAGGAATTTGCAACAAACGAATATGTTGATGCGACTGCAAAACATCCCCATTCTGAGTTCATTGAATATGCATAATAGCTGAATAAATCATCAAGGACACAGTTCGAATCAATGCGACATAGGCTTGCGGAAAATAATGCCAAAAAAACATTGTCAACAAACAATCATCGCACTAGAACCTACATCAACGCATTAGCTGCATGACACATGCAACGCTCAAGGGAGTGATGGACAAACGTGGACAAGCGGAACAGACATACGCACACAAGACGGCGGATGTTGCCTGAAGCAGCTGCCGTGATTCCCAAAAACGGGATGGCCTAGGTCCCGAAAAGGTACCCGTCTTGAAACATCCCCACCCCACACCAACATCCACAAATCCCGAAGCCATATATACATACATATATGTCCCCATGTCCCCATGCCCCATTTCATGGCATGCTGATGGCTTTCAAACAACCGAGCTCACCTGCTTGCAACCTGTAGATGCGCAAGTGCTTGCTGTACGAGGGCATGAAGGAGCACGAGGGAGCACGAAGGAGCACGAAGTGCTGGAGCAAGGTTCAGGTTTAGGACTTCTGACCTGCCCACGTGGACATAGCGGAAGGTGTCACGCGTGAGTCCTGGGTCCAATGCTTCCCTGAAATCCGGGATCTTGGATTTGTGGCCCACATTCGGCTAGATCCGGAAAGCTTCCTGAAAACAAGAACCGTCTTTGGGGCCAGAGCCTTAATTTGGGCCTATTTGGGCTTACTTGGACCCATAGGTCCGCCAATTTCGGACCCCGAGTAGACGTCTCTTGCACTTGCATCCAGACTCAGAAAATGTAGCATCCTCAACTTTCTCGGCTAAACTAAGGCTTGGGGTTTCGGGATCTTCCCAAGTGATTCTAACTTGAACGCATGACTGGTAAATATATGCCAGCAACGAATGTTTGGCTGCTAGAGCAAGCGAGTTTGCAAGTACTGCAGCGATTGAGTGAGGTAGGTCATCATGATGAGAAAGTCCCTGAAAGCAAGCAGCTGGGGATGCACAAAACAAAAACATCCTAAGTACGACGAATAAAAAGCCGGAACGAAACTTGACCAACTACCGATTCTGATACTGCATAGCATCCTTGTCCGAGTCTGACCTGCAAAGGAGCAAAGCAGGCGACACAAGGTCACCTTTGTTCGGCGTGACCTGTCACGTCACTAAATGGCATTTGTGAGGGGGCTTGCGGCGACAACAGACCTTCGGATTCACGTCGGCCTCGACCGTCGGACCTCGTGGTTGTTTGATGCTGTTTGCAAGAGCTCTAAAGCTACAAACTGAGACAAACGAGCCAAGCACGGCTGAGCTTCGAGACTTCGCGACGCACATCCTCCGGCATGGCCTGCAGCACACGATAAGACCCAATTTCTAATGGCAGCTCTCAATGTTTGGCCTGGAAGGCACGGGCTATCTCCTCAGGAGATAACCGCGCGGCCATCTTCTGACCCACGAGCTCGGGCCTCATAAGCAACAAGTCAGGGCACCGAGCGAAATCTGACAACGAACCAAGATCAGATAGATCTGAGGTTGCGACGGGCAGGGCATGGTAGTTCTGCTACAGAACGGAACAAATCCATCTGACCTGCCCCTGGCCTGCAGGTCTGCCTAAACCCTCCCCTGTAAATCTGCAGATCTGCCTAAAGCCTCCTATGAACGTGCGCCGACCTTCCACATCCACAACACTGCTCCTCCCAAAAAATGCGAACGAACAAATAATGAACGGCAGTATGGTTTGGGCATGGATGCGCTGGTATCCGCACGCATGAAAGCAGGAACCAATTGGGGTCTGGGCAGGGCATGGGTCCTGGGCAAACGTGCTCTGGTAATGGCACTCACGAAAAAATGATCGGAGTCATAATTTGGGCATGGTCATCGCACGCAGGACAGAACGAACGGATGTATGGGTCCAGCATGGATGCTCTGGTAATCGTACGCAGGAAAAGAAGAAGGGAATTATGGTCAGGGCGCATCAGAGCTCATCAGAACACCATGCTTCAGAGTGAACAAAACCGGAACATCTTACTTGTTGGAAAAAGAAAGTGTTACATCTGGCAACATAGGCAATTCTCAACAGAACATCAGGGTAGGTATGGACAAGTTTTCACACTGAAGTCTGAAATCTTCTTGTGGCAAACGCAAAGCCATTCTCACCAAAAATGCGAGCGAACAAATAATGAACGTCAGTATGGTTTGGGCACGGACGCGCTGGGAAAGAACGAAGGGTTGTATGGGTCCAGCATGGATGCTCTGGGAATGGTACGCAGTAAAAGAAGAAGGGAATTATGGTCAGGGCGCATCAGAGCTCATCAGAACACCATGCTTCAGAGTGAACAAAACCGGAACATCTTACTTGTTGGAAAAAGAAAGTGTTACATCTGGCAACATAGGCAATTCTCAACAGAACATCAGGGTAGGTATGGACAAGTTTTCACACTGAAGTCTGACATCTTCTCGTGGCAAATGCAAAGCCATTCTCACCACTAGCGTCAGCGGTGTTGGTAAGTTTTCAAATCTCACACCCTAAGTGCACTTGCGGCAACTCCACAAGCAAATCGTCCTGGTCGCATTTGATGCATCCTAGCGTAGCAACACAAGTTGCTGCAACTTGAAGAAAACAAGCATCCGTCAATTCCTAACAAAGACGAGCAACCTAGAAATCAAGTAAGTTCCTACATCTTGCAACGTAATCAAGTCTCAACACGAGCGTCTCAACACGTGGCATCAGAATTGACATATATATATATATATATGTTTTCACATCTGCAACATCACGATCACGCAAAAAATTACGTTCGCAACGAATCTGCTTCTAAAAAACCAAGCGTGAGAAAAAACCAAACAAACAATCGCTAAAACGCTGGAGGAAAAGATGAAGGGAGTTATGGTTATAGGGCGCATCAAAGCTCAGCAGAACACTATGCTTCAGAGTGAACAAAACCGGAACATCGTATATTGTTGGCAAAAGAATTTGTTGCATCTAGCAACATAGGCAAGTCTCAGCAGAAGGCATCATGGTCGGCATGGAGAAGTTTTGACAGTCAAACATGAAGTTTGCTTGTTGCAAACGCAAAGCCATTCTTACCACTAGCACCGGCGGTATTGGTGAGTTCTCAGATCTCAAATCCCAAGTGCTTTTGCTGCGATTCCACAAGCAAATCCTCCTGGTCGCATTTGACGCATCCTAGCGTAGCACACAAGCTGCTGCAATTTGAAGAAAAGAAGCGCCCGTCAATTTGTAGCAAAAAACGCACAACCTTGAAATTCAGTAACCTACATCTTGCAATGTAAAATCAAGTCTCAACACGATGGTCTCAACGCGAGGCATCAGGGTCGACATATATGTGTTTTCACATCTGCAACATCACGATCACGCAAAAAACTTTCGTTCGCAGCGAATCTGCTTTTAGCAACAAATCACGTCAAAGAGAAACCTTACAAACCAATTGCTGAAACGCCGGAAACTTCACGAATCACCGCGTCTTCAAGGAACATCGATTCGGTGAGAAAAACTGAACCGGCATCTTGGCAGGCGAGGATGAAAACTTTCCAACCGTCAAACTTTTGTCCGCATCATTTTCTGGCATGTTGGCTCATTTTTCGTGCAATTTTGTTTTGGAAAACAGCAAAGTAAGCAGCAAAACAAAAAAAAATCTGCGCCCAAAAAAGAAAATGAAAATACTTCGCCAAAAAAAAACATCTAG